CCCTTTCCTTGGGCCATTTTTGAGGTGGGTGCTGAGAGCACAGGGGGTGCTCCTTGGGGATTGAGGGATTCCCAGCCAAGTGCTGTTTACTGAGGCCTGAGTGCTCATACCAACAGGTCAGGTGACATGGTCTAGTTCAGTGGTTCTCAACCTTCTGGCCCTTTAAATACAGTTCCTCATGTTGTGACCCAACCATAAAATTATTTTCGTTGCTACTTCATAACTGTCATGTTGCTACTGTTATGAATCGTAATGTAAATATCTGATATGCAGGATGGCCTTAGGCGACCCCTGTGAAAGGGTCGTTCGACCGCCAAAGGGGTCGCGACCCACAGGTTGAGAACCGCTGGTCTAGTTCATTCAAGCCGAGACTAACTCAGAAAACTGCCCTCCACTATGAAGAGGGCTGAGACCTCTTCAACTGCTGTTGCCGTGTTATTCTCAACAAAAGAATCCTCAAAGGCCTGAGCAGCAGCTCTCACACCGAGGCCATTTGCTGTCCAGAGCACTTGGGAATGCCCGGGGCTTGTGCGAGGGCTGCCAGTGCAGCCAGTGGGTGAAGGCCGGGATGCTGCCAAACAGCCTGCAGGAGGAGCCAGCGCGAAGGGCTGTTGGCCCCACATAGCACCCCGGTGGGGGGATTCTGCTCTAAAGAAATGGGGTTCTATTGGTAGACCCTGATTCATAATAGCCAAGAGGTGAAAGCAACGGGTGTCTGTCTGGGGTGAATGGATAAGCACCATGTGGTCCCCCCATACGGTGGAATATCATTCAGCCTCAACAAGGAAGGGAGTGGTGACACCTGCTACAATATGGACGGACCTGGAGGACATCGTGCTGAGTGAAACAAGCCAGTCACAGAAGGACGGATATTTTACGGTTCCCCTCGCAGGAGGTCCCTAAGGAGTCAGATTCAGAGAGACAGGAAGTAGACAGGAGTTGACCCAATAGAGAGACAGGGGCTGCGTGTTTAATGAATTAAGTGTTTAAAGAATTTCAGTTTGGGAAGATGAGAAAGTCTGGAGATGGATAGTGATGATGTCTGCACAACACAGTGAATGTATTTAATGCCATGGAACTGGACACAAAAAACGATGAAGATGGTATATTTCACGTCATGTGTATTTTACCACAATTAACCTTTATTTTCAGAAGAAGAAATGATGCTACCACCTAGAACTGCTTCTTCCCAGAGAACCTCCGCGGTTCGGGGGCTGGGAAGACAGTGGTCCGCCCATCCCAGTGGCTAATGGGGTCTGTCATCTTCCTCACTGCCCCTTAGGATAAAGTATTTTGGACGGATATCATCAACGAAGCCATTTTCAGTGCCAACCGCCACACGGGGTCCGACATTAATCTGATGGCAGAAAACCTGTTGTCCCCGGAGGACATTGTCCTTTCCCACCGCCTCACGCAGCCAAAAGGTGAAGACAGGGCGCTCCCCCTCCCCCGCTGCCCTGATAGAGCTCTGGAGTTTTCTAGAATTTTCTGACTTCATTCTTGCCCTGACTCCCTGCCTTTTGCACCTCAGGGATAAACTGGTGTGAGACAACTTTCTACTCCTACGGCGGCTGCCAGTACCTGTGTCTCCCGGCCCCACAGATCAACTCCTACTCACCCAAGTTCACCTGTGCCTGCCCTGATGGCATGTTGCTGGCCGAGGACAGGAGGAGCTGCCGCCCAGGTAGGGGACGCCAGCCTGCCTGGCACAAGTCCTGCTTCTGCCACCCTCTCGGCTCAGCCTGAGCCTCTCCTTCCCCATCTGTCAAATGGGAGAGCGAGGCCCCAGGAGGCCGTTGTAGGGACTCCTTAGCTGGGGGAACCGTAGTCTGCCTTTCTTAAATATTGGGCATACCAGCACTGCGCTGGGCACTTAGACTCAGTTTACCTGTGATGTCTAGTCCACTCTTTCCCAGCTCTGTCCATGGGCTATGCCTATATGCATATAAGTTCCCTGTTTACTCTCCCCCCACCCCCACCCCCACCCCCGCCTTCCCTCTGAGATTCATCAGTCTGTTCCATGCTTCTGTCTCTGGATCTGTTTTGTCCATCAGTTCATTTTGTTCATTAGATTCCACATAGGAGTGAGATCATGTGATACTTGACTTTCTCCGACTGACTTATTTTGCTTAGCATAATACTCTCCAGGTCCAGGAGGCAACTGATTTTATTTATTTTATTTTTAAAATCACTTTTATTTATTTTTTAAAAATCTTTATTGTTGAAAGTATTACATATGTCACCTTTTTTCCACCATCGACCCCCTCCAGCCTGCCCCTGCCCCCGACTCCCCACCCCAGGCCCTCACCACCCTATTGTCTGTGTCCATGGGTTATGCATACAGTATATGCATACAGGTCTTTGGTTAATTAGGGGAGTTGGCTGATTTTAGAGCCATGTCCCTTTTCAATTTCTTTTTATGTTGCTAAAACCATTGATGATTTCATTTCAAATACTAGTATTTTTCTGAAGTCTTTTGGTACGCCCACTCTTGCCTCCCTTAACAGTCCAGTGTTAGGAAGTTTACCCTCCAGTTTAATATACTTTAATTTTTGGTTATTTTGAAGAGGAGGAGATCTCTTTTATATTTAGGAATTTTAAAAAACACTGTGGACTTTCATATGTGATTCTGAGCTGTGATTCTGAGCTTTCAAACAAACTTGTTTCCTTTTGCTGCTGCCGTAAATATTTTTGTTCCTTCCTTTCAGTTCGGAACCCTGGTTCTTACTACATTTCAGCTTATCCTTTGAGTTCCTATGAAAATATTTTGCTATTGTGTGGTTGGTTGTTTCATTTTATTTCTCTTTTTCTGCATATTCTGATTATTTTTTATCTTACATTAAAAATTTTTAAACTTTCACAGAAAAATCGGGCCACATTTTGCTCACAGTTGCTTTCCAGGCCTTGACCAGATCTGTCCGTCCCGGTGGGTAGGAAGGAGGGGTGGAGGGGCCTCCGCAGCATCAGTTCTTCCTCAAGTGCAAGCTCTGCTCAGTGCTGGCGGCCCCGAGACGCAAGCCTCTGAGAATGGCAGCTGGGCTCTGTCCCTCGGGAACTAGCTTGAAACGGACGCTATTGTAGCCTCAGCTACCAGGAGAGTGACCTTCATCACTTCCCGTGCGCTCTCGGCTGCTCAGGCCAGCGTCACCGTGCCCGTTGTGCTTGCTTGTCCACAACAAGCAGCGTGGAGGAGACTGCCGCCTTCCTCCCCACCTTCTTTCTTCTTTCTGCAGGTTGGGGTCATTCGTCTTGTTTTCATAGTATTGTCCTTCTTCACTATATTCATTGTTTTGCCCTTATATCCAGAAACTTTAAAAGAAAAAGACCTTCAGATTAGATTCAAGGCTTATGCAGGGCACACATCTCAAGGCCTCTCAGGAGACTGCAGTCACGCTCTCAGCCAGGGCTGCAGTCATGTGAAGGTTCGCCTGGGGCTGGCCTATCTGCTTCTAAGATTGCTTACGCGGTAGCTGGTGCGGCAGGACTGTTTCATGCTGGTTACTTTCCCACTGCAGGGCCTATCCACAGGGCTGCTCCCAGTGACATGGTGGGATGTATGGAACGTTATGATTCCCTTCGCCTCCCACCCCCAAAGTTCATATGTTGAAAGTATATTGTTGAGGCCTGGCCAGGGAGCTCAGTTGGTTAGAGCATCATCCGGATATGGCAAGTTTGCGGGTTTAAAACCCAAACATACAAAAATCAACCAATGAATGCCTAAATAAGTGGAACAACAAATCTCTCTCTCTCAAAAAAAACACACACACACAAAAGAACAACCCCACAAACAAAGTTATAGAAAGTATATTGTTGAAATAGAATCTGCCCTTTTCAATGCTCATCCTCAGAGGAAGTCTCGATTTGGAGCTAGTGTCCATAGCACTGCGATCCCCTCTCTGAAAGCAGACATCGGTTGCTTGTGTTTTCACTGCTTTTGTTTCAGTTATTTCTCTGTGGCCGCTGGGCTCACAGGCACGCGTTGCTGTGAGCAGCAGAGCTTTCACAGGGCACTCAGGAAATGCTTAATCTTTCAAACACAGAACCTGTAGTGACCACCCGGGGACCCAACATGACTCGCTCCACTGTGACTCGCTCCACTGTGACCACTCCTGAGCTCACCACCGCCAAGATGGTGACGAAGGCCCCCCCGCAAGGTAAAGGCCGGGACCGCCCTGGGCCCCGGCTCATCCCGATGAGCATCTAGATGGGCTCGTTCAGAGGCCAGAGCATCTGGATGAAGAGCTAGAGAGTGGAGCTAGTTTGGGCTCCTTTGCTGACTCTCTGACATAGCCTGTGTATCTCTGAAGCCTCAGTTTCCCTACCGATAAACAAGGCTGGTAACAGTGCCCACCCACCTCATGGTAATAGTGGGGATCACGTGGGCGAGCTCACGTGAAGAGTCTGAGCTCATGGTGGCTGCTGATGCCCGAGTCCGCCAGGCACACGGGCCCAGGAGTGTGAAATGTTGTCCAGGCTCATTCACTGCCCTGTTTTCAGGTGTGTGCCCAGCAGGGCCAGGAGTAGGGGGAGGCAGGGAAGGTACTCTTCGAGGCAGCACCTGAGGGGCACCAAGAAACTCAGGACTCAATATTTTAAAAAATCAAATTGCCCAGCTATAGTCTGTGGGGCCAACCACCTGTTGTAAATGAAGTTTGATTGGAGCCAGGGTCTAGGAAGGCAGGATCATTCAAGGGTAGCGTCAGATCCATGTGGATATTTTGTTCATCATAGGGTATTGGAATTAATTTTGATTTTTAAAAATAACTCACCGCCCAGCCGGTGTGGCTCAGTGGTTGAGCGTTGACCTATGAACCAGGAGATCATGGTTCAATTCCCGGTCAGGGCACATGCCCGGGTTTTGGGCTCGATCCCTAGTAGGGGGCCTGCAGGAGGCAGCTGATCGATTATCCTCTCTCATCATTGATGTTTCTCTCTCTCCCTCTCCCTTCCTCTTTCTGAAATCAATAAAAATATATATTTTTAAAATAGCATTGCCCTGGCCGGCGGCGCTCAGTGGTTAGAGCGTCAGCCCACACACCAGAGGGTCCCAGGTTCAATTCCCGGTCAAGGGCAAATACCTGGGTTTCGGGTCCCAGCCTTTACCCTCCCTCCCTTCCACTCTCTCTGAAAAGCAATGGAAAAAATATCGTCAGGTGAGGACAAATAAGAAATAATAATATTAAAATACTGCTGAATTACTGAAGTGGGGCTGGGGGAGCTTTAATTTTTGTGCTTGAGGCCAGTGACTCCTCACCCTAACCTCCTTGGAGGAGGTCAGAACTGTGCTCTCAGTGAATTGATCAGAGAGTGAATTGATCAGAGACCCACCATTTATGTCTTTGTCCACCAGAGGGCGCCCGGCCTGGCTTTTGAGCAACCGGAAATGGAGCTCATGGACTTTTCTAGCCAGAAAAAAAAGTCACATCAGCACGTTTCAGGCATATTTCCCCCCTCAGAGTAGTTGAAGCCTTTGTTCAACCATAAAGGAGATAAAACAGGAACTGCTGTGCTTATGGGATGCCTGGAGCCCTTCTCACTTGGGGTGGGAAGAGGGGGGCGCCGCTTAAAAAGCCATATCACGGACAGGCCCATCCAGGGCTCTGGAATTTGGCAAAGGATCTTTTGTAAGGGAAAAACTTCTCAAAAACGCTGCTGCTGCCCTAGATTATTGTTGTTACAAGGCTTCTTGCATATGTGCAAATGCAGTACTGGGTATAAACTTCGTATACACATGTCCAACAGCCGGTAGAATTAAAACCCAGATGGATTTGAACACGGTGGTAACCACAGCTCACCAGCATACGTGTGGCCCGGATGTGGTTTCTTTAATCTTCTCAGCCTTTTTTTCTCTTTAGAGACCTCTACAATTTTTAAAAAGATATATTTTTATTGATTTCAGAGAGAAAAGGAGAGGGAGAGAGAAATAGAAACATCAACCATGAGAGAGAATCACTGATTGGCTGCCCCCTGCATGTCCCCCTCACTGGGGACTGAGCCCACAACCCAGGCATGTGCCCTGACCAGGACCTCCTGGTTCATAGGTCCATGCTCAACCACTGAGCCACTCCGGCTGGACATAGAGACCTTCCCATTTTCATTTGCATGGAGCCCTTTGTTGTCTGGCTCAGGTGCATTTGCATGTGAGTGGTTATATAATGAGGTGTCTTCCCCGGCCCAATATATTTTATTAGCTGGGGACAGTTGACACAGGACTATGGGGTTTGGTGCGATCCAACACAGGCTCTGGAATTGGTGAACTCGTGCAGCAAAGGCTCATTACCATCAAATGCAGAGCCAGGTTGAAAATTTCACCGGGGACCATTGGGAATGTAACCGCAGGCTCTGCCTCGCAGCCCGGCGGTCCCGTCCCCAGTGCCTCTCAACGCTGGGCTAGAGAACCTTTAATATGCATACCACACTGAGTCCCACAACTCCAATTGCTAACAAATAAGGTCCAGGCACAACCCATCGTGCTGCCCTTGAAACCTGGCAGGTGCTCCAAGTTCCTCGAAACCTTTAAGGACAATGGGAGGCAGCAGGTGCTTCCCTTTGGGTGTCAGTCCTCGTACACCTGCTGGTCTCCATGCCCTGCCTGAGGGTCCGAGCCTCACTTTCTCCCTTTCCCCCTGCAGCCTCGGAGGACGTTCCTATCAAAGAGGACAGGAAGGAGAGGCCCCGGGGCGTGGGCTGGCTCTACATTGTCCTCCCCATCGGTAAGCCCACCACCGGCCCTCCCTCGGTTCCCTGGCCTCCCTGCTTGGCCTCCTTTTCTCTCCGGAATGGGGTGTCCCCGCCATGTGTCCTGTCATCACTGCACTCCCCTTCCTAGCTTCATTCATTAACAAATCTAGTTGAGCGCCTACTGTATGCCATGCCCGCTTCTGGGGACACAGCTGTGAAAGAAATAGACACCTCGCCCCGTGGGTGCCAACAGCGACGTTCAGATGGGGAGGTGAGCCCGAGGTCCCTGGGGCGCAGTGTCGGGCGCTGACACCAGGGGAGGCGAGAGCGGTTCTCTTGCAGGGGCGAGTTTGCAGAGCGCCAGGGCCCCTTCCTCAGCCTGTCAATCAGCTCGGTGAGCGTCACCCATTCTTCCTTTTGTGAAGAGATCCTTTTGAGGTGCCCCTTCAGCATGCAGCCTGCCCACAGACACTTTCATTTTGGTGCCAACAGTCATCCGACTGTGGGTTGACAGACATGGCAAGTGGGACCCTCACCCCCCGGTGGCCTCCGAGTGTGTGCCTGCCCTGCGTCTTCCCAGCAGAGCCCACGTCTCTCCCACCCGCTGGGCACTGGCCAGGCTGTTTCACAAACTGGGCTGTGCAAGCCCTTGGCTGTGCCCTGGGTCTAAAAACGTAGTAGCCCCCTGTGTGGGCAAACCCAGAAGAAACCCGAAGAATCCACCACAGTTGAGCATTTCTGGGGTGAGGCGGTTGCAGAAGTCTTCAAGTGAGAGATTGGTTATGCTCGCCGATTGGATTTTTACAATGGGCAGTATTTCTTTAAATCAGAACAAAACCATTCACAAATAAAAAGGCTGGGGGTTTGAAGGCAGCGTCACTGGCCACTTGGGGCACCAGGCGGGGCCGGGGCAGGGGGTGACGCCAGGCCGCCTCTCCGCAGTGCTGCTCACCCTCCTGTGCTTCGGGGCCTTCCTCCTCTGGAAGAACTGGCGGCTGAAGAGCATCAACAGCATCCACTTTGACAACCCCGTGTACCAGAAGACCACGGAGGACGAGGTGCACATCTGCCACAGCCAGGACGGCTACACCTACCCCTCGGTGAGCGCCCCAAAGCCATCCGCACGGTGGGGGAACAGGAAGGGGGTAAGGAGAGACCCTAAGTCATGGCAGTGAACAGAGGGAAGCCACCGGGGGCTGGGAGAGAGGGGAGGCAAGTTTAGAAGAGGTGGTTTGGGCGGGCCTCCCTAAGCAGAAGTGTATGGTGTGCAGAGGGCGCAGCATGTGCAAAGGCCCTGAGGCTGGACCGAGCCTGGTGTGTTTGAGCCCTATGGCCACACCGCGGCCAGTGTGGCTGGAGAGGAGAGAGCGGGACGAGGGAGGAGACAAGGGCAATGAGGGGGCCTGGCAGATGGAGCAGGACCTTGTGGCCCATGGGGAGGACTCGGGCTTTGCTCAAAGTGAGGAAGGAGCTGTGGAGGGCTCTGGGAAGAGGAGGGACATGGCCTGACTTGGGGGCTCACAAGCACCCCCTGGTGGTGGCTGCTGTGGCAGGACAGACTGGGGAAGGGCGAGGGCAAAATCTGACTCGGGTGCTCACAGGCGCCCTCTGGCTGCCGTGGGGGAAACAGACTGGGGTAGAGGTCAGTGGCCAGGAGGCCCGGGCGGAAGTGATTGTGCTGGTTCAGGCCGGTGATGAGGAGCAGGTGGCCTCTGGCCGTGTTTACTGGATGTTGGACTGATTATTTCCGGTGTTTATCGTTTTGTTGACAGAGACAGATGGTCAGGATGGAGGATGACATGGCATAAGCCGCTGCCTCCAGTCCTGCCCCTCCCAGAACCTGCTGCTGGTCAAGGGCAGGAAGAACACTTTCTCCCCAAACCCTTGACCTTTCCAAAACCCTTCTTCAGACCTCCGACGCCCGCCCGTTCCGTTCAGAGAAAGAAGCGGCCAAAGCCCTGCTGGCAGCTGACCTCGACGCTGGCAGCCACGGGCCTGTCTGCCAGAGCTTTGTTTTATATATTTATTCGTCTGGGAGGCAGGCGACAGAGCACACGGAATGGGTTTTGGTTGAAACATTTTTCTTGACCTTTTCTCCTCAATTGGCTCCTCACCTGAGGAACAAATGGACGGAGGGACACCAAGCAAGAGAAAGCAAGTGGCTTTGAATCGAGAGCAGGTGATGCCCACAGGGTCCCAGGCAGCTGCCGAGCCTCTAACCTCAGGAGTAAATGTGTTTACCTCTGCCTTGCAAGCCTTGGTGGACGCCAGAGTCGGCTTCTGCTCTGCCTCCCCCCGATCAGGACGAAATCCGTTTCCTAAGCCGAGTGTGTGCCCTCTCCTTCATCCGGGACATGGCGTGGACATGGCGGAATCCAGCACACCGGGGCGGCCAACTGAGCCCACTCATTCAACAAAACCTCAACAGTTCCCCAGGGAAAGCCTGAGCACCCTTTGCCCTTAATATTTATCGAGGGCCCGCGCTCCCCGGGCACCTTGTGTGTGAGGATTAGTGCCCTCCGACCTCTAGCAGTGCCCTTCAGCCCAGCCCAGCCGTGCCCCAGCCCTAGCCCCAACCCCAGCCCCTCCACGTGCCCGTGCACTTTTCCAGTTCAGGTTTGTACATCTGTAAAGACTACAATTCCTTCCTTATTTTGCACTGTTTTCTGGTCCGACTAGGATGGGCTCCCAGGTCGGAGAGGACCCGGGAGCGGGGAGGGGATGCGGTGCCGTCTTGTGGCCTTTCTCCCAGCACTTCAAAGCCAAGAGGTGATTATCTGGCTAATGTTTCCACTTCTATGCACCTGTCCCTGCCATGCCTCTCCCCGACAGGACAGTAGTCACGGATGGGTGTTTCAGCCCGAAGGCGTCCCTGGGTGTGGTCATTATGTGGGGCTTATGAACAAGAATGCTTTCTGAAGTTGTCACACGTGTATTTACAACGGAAGAGACGGTGGGAGGGGCCGCCCCTGGCTTCCCTGTCAGTTGTGCACTACAGACCCCAGCCCCTGTGCCCAGCCTGCAGGAAACTGTGAAAGGTGTTTCTCCCTCTGAAGCCTGTAAATAGAGCCCTGAACCTAGGAGCAGGGCATTTCATTTTGCACTTTGTACATTTGTTGGAGCATTTATCACTCATATATATGAAAACAGACCTATTTATTTTTGCAAACCCTGGGTGCTGCTTTGTTGGGTGACCCCTCAGGGACCTGCATGGGGGAGAGGCCTCATCTTTCTGTACAGCTGACCCCGCAGCCCGGGTCTGTGCTCTTCAGGGGACCCGTGTCCATGTTGCCGCATGGGCTGCTCTGAGGGTGGGTTTTGACTATAAACCACTGTATAGAATGTTTTTATAGTCTGAGTGTCTTACTTTGATTAAATTTCTTAAATGAACCATTTGGCTAAACCTGATGCACTTTGTCTTCTGTCCCCTCACTTCCTCCCTCTGCTGGTGGGCTGGGCTCCGCAGGGGGCAGGGTCTGCGAGGGAGCATGGCCCTGAGCTCAGGGCAGGCTCAGGCTCTGGTGGTGTTGTGCTTAGCCAGGGGGCAGCCCTGCTGGGTGCTCCCCTGAGTTGGGGTTTTGTTCATTCATTCAACAAACATTTATTGGGCACCTACTGTGTGGCCAGGTCCTGTTCTAGGCATGTAGAATAAAAGACAACAAAAGTGACTAAGAGTCTGGGCCCTCAAGGACGTGACTTTTTAATTTTTAAATATGTTTTTATTGATTTCAGAGAGAGGGATAGAAACATCAATGATGAGAGAGAATCATGATCGGCTGCCTCCTGCATGCCCCCTACTGGGGATCGAACCCACAACCCAGGCATGTGCCCTGACCAGGAATCGATCCTGGTTCATGGGTCGATGCTCCATCACTGAGCCACACCGGCCGAGCAAGGACGTGACATTTTAGAAGGGGAAACATAAAATTACTATATTTAGAAGCATGTTAAACAGGATAATGGGACAGACAAATACCTGGCAGAGGATTTGGGCTGAATAACTGGCCATGTGAGGATCTGTGGGGAGAGTCGCTGGGGCTGAGACACGGGCTCCACCGAACATGGCATTTCTGCCGGGCATATCCCTCCAAACCTTTGGGCCCTGGGAGTGGTTGGTGTGAGGTCCTCTGAAAGGACAAAACAAAAGCTAATGTGACTACATTTACCACTGAGATAGGAAAAGTTTGGTGAGTCTACAGAGTCTACATAGAACTATTTGGTGAGAGCTTTGGGCGTCTGCTGTGCACACTGCAGTCCATCTCTGTACCCACACCTCCACTCCTGTGCACCCCGGCTTCACGTAGCCTGGGCCTGTGGCCATTTCAGCATGCCCTGGAGCATGCCCTTGGACATGGCAGTCAAACCACAAATAGTCCCAGAGTATCAATTGGCTACAGTCAGAGTCCACAGCAGATCCTTGGACAGAAAGAATTCAACAAAGGGGGCAGGCCATGCGATGCCACCTCACACCCATTAGAATGACTATAATAAAAAACAAAGTAACAAGTGTTGGTGAAGATGTGGAGAAATCAGAGCCCTTGTGCACTGTAGGTGGGAATGTAAAATGGTGCAGGCACTGTGGAAATAGTATGGTGGTTCCTTGGAAAATTAAAAATAGAATTACTGCCCTAACCAGTTTGACTGGTGGATAGAGCATCAGCCCAGAGACTGAAGGGTCCCAGGTTTGATTCAGGTCAAGGGCACATATCTTGGTTGCAGGCTCGATCCTGGGTTTCTGGTTGGGGCTCGTGTGGGAGTCAACCAATGGATGTGTCTCTCTCACATCGATGTTTCTCGCTCTGTGTCTCTCCCCCTCCCTTCCACTCTCTCTAAAAATCAATGGAGCCCAGCCCATGTGGCTCAGTGGTTGAGTGTCAGCCTATGAACCAGGAGGTCATGATCGGATTCCTGGTCAGGGTACATGCCCAGGTTTTGGGCTCAATTCCTAGGGTGGGCAGGGGAGTTCAGGAAGCAGCTGATCAATGATTCTCTATCATCATTGATGTTTCTCTCTCTCTCCCTTCCTCTCTGAAATCAATAAAAATATATTTTAAAAATAAAAAAAACAATGAAAAAATATATATCCTCAGATATATAT